TCTTTTAAAATATTAATTCTATTTGGTTTATTTGTTAACAAAATTAATAATTATAATTATTAATTGATAAATAACAAAATATTTAATATTTATTACTTACTATATTAAAATAAATCTATATATTAATATTTTCAAATATTATAACTAATTATTTACATACTAAAAGAATATCAAATTTCGTGTAAACTTAATAATATGGTGTGTGATTATAACCATACTTAATTTTACATATGTAGTCTATTTCGCCTTAAACACTAATTTTTCTTTCACTCTAGCTAAATGGGGCTTTAGAATCTCCCAACAGCAATCATCTGCTCTTGCGCACGGTAAAAAAGGAAAAGACTTATCGCGCAGCAAGCCCCTTCTTTTGGGTCTCTTCTTCTCTTGTGAAGTCTCCTTTCTTTTTTTCCTCTGCCAATTCTTCTCCTTTTGTTTGAATTGTAATTGTAATTCTCTATCTTCCTTTTTTTAAAGCCAATCAAAACCTATATAGAAATATGATAATTAGAATACCCTACGTTCAGGACATCTATCACGGTTATCCATTGAGTGGACCTTATCTCTGAATTGATTCAACAAATAACTGTGATAGACGTTTTGAATGCCAGGATATTTTGATTTTTTTTTTTTTTGAACAATTGGTCATGGGGGCAGGTCGAACCCACCCCAAGGGGAGAGGATGCATCTTTCATTGTGGCAGTTGCCACTAGGCCCAAAGGCCAGGTGCAGGATATTTTGATTTTTGAAGCTCTCAAACCTCTATATATATATATATATCTAAAAGTTAGAGTAGTACATAAAGTTTTAAATTTACATTAAATTTACAATTAAGGTCTCAAGATTTTATTATGCTTAATTAAAGTTTTAAAGTTATGAATTCTCAAATAAGATTTCAATTACATGAAAACCTTAGACTGATAAATAATTTGTTAACATTGTTAAATTTAATCGGTTTCAAATTAATTTTTTATGTTGATATGAAAATTTTTGTAGGACCACAATTAAAAATTAATTTTAATTATCTAAAATAATTTACTAATTATCCTTTAAATGATTCATTAAAAAGTTAATTAATCATTGACACATTTTTTGAGTTTTTTTTTTTGCCATAACAAATTTTTTGGTGGGTCTCACATATTTGCATGGTAAATCTAGTCATGAAAAAAATAACAGTGGATCCCACAAAAATTTCCTCATAAACAAAAAAAAAAAAAGGTTTAAGAAATTTTTGAGGTTTTTTTTAAAGTTTTAGGGTTTTTGAGAATTAAAATTAAGAGTCTAGAGACTATTTTTTTTGTTATTTAATCAATTAGATTTAAAGAAGTTAACAACTAACTTAACACACCTAATGCTTTCCATCGAATTGAGACCTTATTTGAGAATTTTGGACAACTTATTTTAATTTGAGTGCAATAAAACTTTATGATCTTAATTGTGAATTTGGTATAAATTCAGGATCTTATGTACTACTTTAGCCAAAAAAAAAAAAGAAAAAGGCAATAACTTTGCAGTAGTGCATGGTGGTAGATTTGTAGCATAGTACGGATTTTATCAAGGGCTGAGGATCTATTTGATTTTGTCTTTTTGGGCAATTAGTACTCTTTAATTAATTACTGGATCTATGTGGGCGGCTGATACTCAAGCGGTGGTTACAAGTAGTGGTGCAGTCAACTGCAGTGATGAGGTGGAGGCGAAAAGTTGCAGGTGGCATGCATCCGACTCCGATGGGGATAAGGCCTAGAGCTCCGTGTGTGCTGATTTTGGGACATATTTAGCTTATAATCAAATGGTCTTTGTTGATTTATAGGCCCTTGATTTCTCACATTGGATGAGTTTGCTCATTAAAATTGCGCAAAAAACATAAAGTAAATCGTGTTTTGATCAAGGACAATTGCTGGCCTTACAAGAGGAGGAAAAATAAATCATGGGATTGTGAGGCCTCGTTGGTCTAATTCAAGTTTGACCATCTTGATAATGAAGGGGTGTGGTCCTTCGACTAGTTTTGTTGCCCCAAAGCATTTTGCAGCTGCAGCTACTTGAAGTGAAATAGGATGCTCCAGATAGTAGTTTTGCTTTGAATACCTGACAATGTTCCTACGACTTTGTGATATAGAAGGCTTTTTCTGCGATTAATAAACTAGATCTATCATGGGCATGTCTTTGAGTATTGAGGGCGGAGGTTTCTATTTCTTTACCTATATCTGTGGCACTGGTCATAGATTTTTGATGTAACTGTTTTAGGTAATCAATAAAACTATGATCACCAGTGGTTTAAGTAAAAGAAACTTAATTCTTTTTAAATAAAATTTCAAATTTGAGTTTTATAAATGAAAAAATAAGTATCAAAAGAGTTTCTCTCTTATAAGATTTAACGCAGTTTGATTCTAAATTAATTTAGGATCTAATATGATTATCAGATACGGAGAGTTTAGTGAAAAAAAAAAAAAACTATGATCATTTATAGTTTTAGGCATTAAATTAGCACTTTGAAAGGCAAACCCTCTCATTAATAAAATAAACAATTAAATGGTAATATCTTTTTACTAAAAAATTAAAAAAATTAAAAATTTAAATCATAAACATTTAAATGGAGTAAATAAAATTATGAAAGAACCTATCTCTCTTTAATTATGCAACCTTAAAAAAGGGAAAACCAAAAAAAATAAAAACCCATCTCGTACCCAGCTGATCCATGTTGGACTTGAACTTAGAAAATTAATGGGGATGAAGGAAGTTGGTGCGGGCAATAAAGCTCTGTTCCTCTCCTTGGAAACCAAACTCTCACCAATTAGGCTATTGTCCTGAGTTCTAAAATTGGATCATGCTTGGGACGACCAAAGGCAAGCATTATCCAGCAATAATCATGATTTATTTCTATAGATGATCGAAAACAAACTAACGAAAAAATATATATATATATATATATCCATATGAAATGAA